GCAGGCTTGCAGGGTATACCCTTTGTTGGTGGATGATGCATGGAGGGGATTGTAACCATGGCAAGGAAATGATATATGATGGTATCAATGTAAAGCTAATGTTCTCCCATGTAAACTATCACATAACGCACAATAAAGCATTAAAAAAAACACTGACTTTCTGACAGTTCTGGAGGCTAGAGGTCTGCATTCAGGGTATGGCTCGAAGGAGGGGCATCTTTATTCGGCTGAGTGCTGCCAGCAATCCTTGGTGTAGAGGGTCCTCATCCAGTGTCTTCTTGCCTCTGTGTTTGTCTGTGTCTATTCTGGTCTTTTTATAACTCAGAAGTGATTTGGTTTAGGATTCACCTCCACTGTTCTTGGCTCATTCACATTACAAACTAAAGCTCCGATGTCCAAACAGGGGCATATTCATGGATACAGGTTTTCAACACACATTTCTGGGCTGGGGGAGGTCAGGTCACAACTCAGTTCATAGTACTATTAACAAATTTCTAAGCAAAAAGAAAAGGAGGTATAGAATCAATACCACTATACATAGAGTTGTCTAGAGTGCTGTTTTAAGTGTTTGAGATTTTTTTATGTTTATTCTGTGCTCAGGATTAGTAAAACTTCATTTCCAATTAATTCAGTTACAGCAGTGGGGTTACATTATAATTGAGTGACTCATGTGGAATGTTCACCAAGTGTTTTTGCCAAGGTGTACTGTTTGTATTTCTGTTAGTACCTAAGGAAGTTAATAATGTTGAACAGTGAGATGGACCCAAGCAATTTCCTGCTCTAGTTACATAACGGGTGTTACCTAGAAGAACTAATGGCCGGTTGTAGCGGCCCATCACCTCCTTCTTTCAGTCACTGGCTGGTTTGGGAGTTTCTGGTTCCTATCTTATGTCTGTGGAGCAGAGTACCTGCAGCAAGTGGGCAGAGCACAGGATTTCCCACTGTTGATGTTAGGAAACACTCAATTCCTACTGTTGTGATGTCTGAGCTGAGACAGAGGTAAGAACTTCAGGGCTTTATGCCCATAGTAGAAAGATAAACTCTAGTTCTTCCTAGTTTAAACTGTGGTCCCTGAAATGTTAAGTGCCTTCAAGTTAGTTCTGACTCATCCTGACCTTATGTAGTGTTTCCAAGGAGCAGCTGGTGGATTTAACCACCAACCTTGTGGT